CAACACGCGTTTACTCGTCGGTCTTCTCCCGCTAACTTGTACCTTGTCGGCGGCGTCTGTCTGCGGCGGCGGTTTGGGGTGGGGGTGGGGGGTGCAGGACCTGAACCGGTGCATCGACAAGATCGAGCTCGTGGACTTCCACCAGGTCCTGGAGCACGAGGGCATCAAGTTCTGGTGTTACAACGCCGGGCACGTTCTCGGTGCGGCCATGTTCATGATCGAGATTGCGGTGAGTAGTGCAAGCAGGAGCGAGTTGGTCTCTCAACGCGCACAGCAGTCGAGCCGTTGTATTGTAGTTTCAACGGGTTGATGGTGACGTTTCATATCCCGGGCGCCTTTTTGCATGCAGAGCGAAGGGTGTCGTTTTTTTTTTTTTGCCGTTGTGGCAGCTGTTTCCGGGTCAGCGCGGAGGGGCGGACAGCTTGAAGCAGTGACGGAGGCAGGCAGCAGGGACAAAGTGGGCATCACATATCCATCCAACTGTAGTAGTGTTGCTCATTTTCCACCCCTGCCACTTGCTGGTATCTGACGTACCCACTGCTGTTGTCAAATTTGCTCGCCGTTTCCACGGGCCACCTTCTAACCTCCGCGTTCGTTCTCACCATCCATCCCCCCGCGTTGCTACGCTTCAACACAATGTTTTTCCGCGGCCGCGTTCTTGTGGTGCAACCAGGGGGTGCACGTGCTGTACACCGGAGACTACAGCATGGAGGCCGACAGGCACCTCATGGCGGCTGAGATGCCCAGCACCTCTCCGGACGTGCTGATCGTCGAGTCCACCTACGGAGTGCAGGTGCTTTTCGCTTTCGCACGCGTGTATGTATGTGTGTGCCGCCGTTTAGAGCTCCCTGTTAGGCTTTGTTTTGCTCGTTTTTTTTGTTCTGTTTATGCCTCGGAGGTTGTTGTTGTTTGTTGTACTACCGCCTTGCCCCGTGGTCACCCGGTCCAAGCACAAAACAACAAAGTGGGTGCTGGGGTTGATTGTCGCCGTGCCCAAACGCGCGGGGAAGAAGGGGGTTTGTTACACCCTTTGTTTCCCCTGCTTCCTAAAGTTTGGGTGTTGTTGACGGGCGGGGGGGGGGGTAGCGGCTTGAACGTCGGACGAGCATCTATGCACACACAACTTAACTGCCACCTCCTGCCTTGCCATCCATCTCGCCCACTAAATGTACGGATCACTCCCCCCCCCGCCGCCCTTACAAGGTGCACGAGCCGCGAAAAGAGCGAGAATCGCGTTTCGTGGGCACGGTGTCCAAGGCGGTCAAGAAGGGAGGGAGGTGCCTCATCCCCGTCTTCGCGCTGGGGCGTGCTCAAGAGCTCCTGCTCATCCTGGATGAGTACTGGCAGGTGCGCGGTTGGTCGGTTTCTAGGGCTTGGTTGTAGTCGGTTGTAGTGACGGCAACTGCCGTGTTGCTGCTGCTGTGGGGTTGACGGTGGTGGCGTAGGTGGGGTTGACGGTGGTGGTGTAGGTGGGGTTGACGGTGGTGGCGTAGGTGGGGTTGACGGTGGTGGCGTAGGTGGGGTTGACGGTGGTGGTGTAGGTGGGGTTGACGGTGGTGGCGTAGGTGGGGTTGACGGTGGTGGCGTAGGTGGGGTTAACGGTGGTGGCGTTGGTGGGGTTGACGGTGGTGGTGTAGGTGGGGTTAACGGTGGTGGCGTAGGTGGGGTTGACGGTGGTGGCGTTGGTGGGGTTGACGGTGGTGGTGTAGGTGGGGCGGCGATGGTTGTTTGTTGCTGTGGATGGCCGGGAGTGGTGGGAGATGGCGGCACAACTGGTCGTGGCAGCGGCAGTTGACGTGTGGTTGTGTTCACGGACGGTGGCATGGGGTGTTACTGGTGCTTTGTCGCAATACGGTAGTCACGCTCGAACGGCTGGGTAGGCTGACGTACTTGAGACAACCTTGTACTCACCTCTTCACCCGCTCTGTGCTGAACCTGCATCACCCCCCTCCCTTTCCTTTCTCCGTCGCCCTGACTGTTGCCATAACCTCTTTTGACTCTGGCGCAGCAACACCGCGAGCTGCACCACATCCCTATCTACTACGCCTCGCGACTGGCATCCAAGGCTATTCGGTAACTGCAACAGTGTTGACGGGGACTTCAGATCCCGTTCCACCACTAAATACCATCGATGAATAGGTGTTGCTTGAGTCCAGGTCCGGTCCTAGAGTCATGTACGATGGCAGTACAAGCTGTACTTTTTTTTTGTTTTTTTTGTTTTTTGTGTTCTCCTCTACCGCAGTACCCTGGCCCGTACTACATGGGACTGAGCCGACCATTCCTTGATTTTTCTTTTGCTCCCGCTTCTCCGCGTCGCTTCCCCCCCCACGGGGTGCAGAACGGATTGTGTGTGTCTGTGTCGTTCCTTTTTTTTGGACGTCGGTGTTTGCACCTTGCGGAATGTTTTCCCCGGCCTATCAGCTGGGGTCGCACACTTTTTTTTTTATGTTCTCCACCGTAGGCAGCCACCGTTGTGTGATCTTGGATGACACAAAAGGGCATTATTTTACTATTTTCGGCAATCTCGTGCGGGGAGTTCTCAAGCTCCAGAATCGATTCTCGTCATAAATGTCGCCCGGCAAGCTCGCGGTAACATCGAGTTGCGCGGCTTTTTTAAGGACTGGGGTAGACAGCTATTATAACAGACGCTGCTACTGCCCCCCGAACGTAAAAAAAAACCCGCCATACGCAGCGTTTATCAGACGTACATCAACATGATGAACGAGCACATCCGGCAGCAGATGGATGTGGCCAACCCCTTCAAGTTTCAGCACATCACCAACCTCAAGAGCATCGACCAGTTCGATGACTCGGGACCGTCGGTGAGTGCCGTTGCCAAGTTGTCGGTATGGAGATCGCCACCAAAGACCTGACGGTTTTCTGGCTAGCGTTGTTCTCTCGCCCACTCTCTTGGACAGCGTGTATTAAAAGAAAGGGGTGGGGAAGAAAGAACGCTGTTTTCGGCGCTGCCCTAACTGTTTGATTTTCTTGACCGTTGGAACTCTGATTTTTTCTTTCGTCCATTTCCGCGCGTGCGTGTGCTTCGGCGGAATGTCGATCAGGTTGTGATGGCGTCGCCGGGGATGCTCCAGAGCGGGGTTTCCAGGATGGTAAGCGGCATGTTTCGGCATCATGAATCGCGTGTCGGAGGAGTACGGATTGGAGTATTACAGTGCATGGGAATCCATCCATCCCTGTCGCCTTCCACGCATGACGATGAAGCTGGTGTTGGGTCATTGGTTCTGTAACGGCGGATACTATTATAGTGTCTAGATGGGGCACCTTTGGCTGTTTGTAGGATGTACAGCAGCAGTCGGATACATGTAGAGCGCATATCGCTTGAGTGGTAGCAGTCCAAGGAGTAGTTTGGCGTCTACGAGATGGGTGGATTGGCGTACCCAGTATAACAGCGGCAAGCGTCGCTACCCCGAAGCCCCGTGGTTTCATGCGTTGGTCTTTGGGCGCTCATGTGTGTGATGCGTCGAGCTATCTCCGCCTTTATGAACATGTTTACGGTGACTCTACCCGGCAGTTGTTGTTTTTTTGGCCGTAGTACCGCCTGTTCTGTGGCATGATTGACCCGTTGTTCCGCCATCTCGGACGCCGACGAACCATTTCGACAACACCACCGCCGGGCTGTTCGCTCGCTCGGCGACAGCTGTTCGACCGCTGGTGCACCGACGACAAGAACAGCGTCCTCATCCCCGGCTACTCCGTGGAGGGCACGCTGGCCAAGAAGCTCCTGTCGATGCCCGACGAGGTTCAGGGGATGGACGGAAGGGTGAGTCATGGAGCCCCCTCGTCAGACCCACACCGTTGGTCGCCCAGTAACTTTTTATCTGTTCACGTTGCATGTGGGTGTAAATTGTCGATTTTTTTTCGATATCCGGACACTGTGGCGCACACCGGCAACGGTTAGCTCTGGTGGTTTCGCTACTGTCGCCATTTTTTTTTTTTTTGCCATCCAAGGGTCGAGTGGGTTGACTCGTTCCTTGTCTTCCTACCTGAACGGGACCGACGGCAGTTTTTGTTGTTGTCTTTTTTCATGACTTTCGCCGTCAACCTCTCTCCTATAAAGTTTGCTTGTCTGTCTCACCAAAGCACGCTCTGAACCGTGCAACACTTGCCTATCTCCTCCCTCCATTGGCCATCGGTTGTCTTGCCCTCCCTCCCTACCTCCACCGAATATTCATCTGCCCCCCCCCCCCCCCCCCCCC